GATCGACCGCTGCAGACGACGCGGTGCTGGAATCGAGATGACCAGAATCTTAGATGCGTATCATTAGTGCTGTATACAATTCGGACCTGACACAGTGCTTTACTCTGACGGAGAAGGTGTTCCCAATATTGACGCCAGCAGTCCTTATGGCAGAGGGCGCTGAGCTGAGGATGCGTGCGCGTGGGCAACGCGCCACGACTATTGAAGCCAGAAGTGGCATATTACGACGCTGACTCCGCGTCACGGACTCCGAACCCAAAGGTTTAGACATGCCACTCGTGTTCACTCGACCATTGCATGAGGCTCTGTTTCCCGCCAAAGCGTTTACTTTCTTTAAAGAGGTATCTCCATGCAGCGCACTGTTTGGCCGGTAACCTGCGACGTCACCCGACTTGCCTGTTCTGGACCGTGAGCGGCAGACGGAGACATCGATCGCGCTCGAGAGCAGACTCTTCGCCGGGTAAGCGCTGGGGCTATCATTCAAGCCGCTGCAATAGCGAACGCGAACGTGCACTACGGGCCAAGGCGACCATCGCTGGTCAGCATTACTATGACGAAGGAGATCTGGTTGATTACCATCGTCCCACCATTGCGAAAGACGACAGGGGTGGCTGTAATGGACCCTTCCCAGTCGTGCGACATGATCCAGGCAGGGGTCAAATTCTCATGGGAGTTGGGAACCGCGATGTACGAGGCCAGTACGGTGACGCACGACACTGACTGTACACTGAAGCTCTGATCACTCGAAAGATTGGCTCGGACAGCGCAGCATTACGGACTGCGTTGGTTTTTATAGCGTGCGGGTCAACCTGCCTTCGTTGAGCCCGTCTGCTGTCGCCTACCTTGTGTATTATTGTGTTTTGCTGTATAGCTGGCGGCGGACTCGCGCTTCGTCTCTTCCCCCTCCGACTCTAGAGGAGGTCGGGCAAAGGCGAGAGGTGAGGTTGGTGGAGAAAAATTGTCCACACCCATCGCGCCAATCTGATACGACATCGAGCTGCGTCGAACAAACAGACATCGCCCCCCCCCCAAACCCAAAGTTGACGGGGTTGGGTGCGAGGCAACTCGCGGGGGACAGAACATGGACGGGTTTGGGGGTGAGGGGGGGCGAGCCACATGTATATTGCAATTGTCATTGCCATCGTGCCCGAATGTGTTCCCTCCGTCGGCGTGGACACCCTTTGTTCGGGCACCGTTTGGGTAAAAATAGTGTCGGTTTGTTTGAAGTGGATGTACATGTGGGTGTGCAGGTAACAGGGCGCTCCCCCACCCCACCGCAGGCCTCTGCTTGCGCGGAACTGGTACAAGTGGATGGAATTGGTCATAGAACTATTCATAGAACTGATCCATTCAAAGTAAGGTCTGACAGAGAGGTGGTCGTCCGAAATAAAAGGATTTTATATTTCCAAAATATTTCTGTTTCGAATATCGACCAGTTTTATGCCGGACCTTGTTCTTTAATGGACCACTTCTATGACCAGTTCTATGACCAGTTTTACCCAGTTGCCCCAGTTGCAAGCAGAGGGTTGCGGCTGGGGGGGGGAGCGCCCTGTTACCTGCACGCCCATCATTATCATCATCAGCACCAACATCATCACCATTCACGGTTTCCGAACAACACCATCGCCAACACCTCCATCATCAGCATCAAGACCAAACACCATCGCTACCACCGGTGTCAGTTTAGGGAGCTGTCTTGTGAGCTTACGTCCTGTTGACCCTTGGCGCATTATGTATTGGAACTTCGTTACATCATCATCACAAACGACATGAACGTCGACATCATCAGCATCACGCGTATCACATCACCACTGACAGCAACATCATAAAGACACACCGGCGTCATCACCGCCCACATCAACAGCATCTCCAAGACAATCATTAACATTCGCATCCGCAATGCCTAGTTGCCTTCGGCACATCCTGCCACCGTGCCTGGGTTGTGTGTATGAGGCTTAGTGGATGTCCGGTGGAATCTCTTGGGAGGCTTTTCGCGGGCCTCTTGGAGGTAGTTTCGATGCCTCTTTTGGGCCGTCTTAGGGCCGTCTTGGGCATCTTGGAGCGATCGTTCGGCGACTCGGGGCCTTCTTGGACCGTCTTGAGGGCCTCTTGGGGCCCTCCTGGCCTGTCTTGGGGCCCTCTTGGGCCCGAGAAAGTCACGTGGGGAGATGCGACGAGGCCCAGCGGGTACGCGAGAAGCCTCAGGAGATTTGCCAATTTAGGTCTGGGCCCCTGAAAGATTTCTCAGGAGTGAGGATTGCGGCTGAGAGGGTTAAGCAAAGGACTTGATGACACGCCCACTCCGTGCTCACAGGCACGGTGGCAGATTTTCATCAGCATCATCACCTGCATCCCCATCATTCCTCACTCCCCCGCACTTCTTGGCACGCTTCACCTGGTCGTCCGCCTTCGGACTCCCCCGCATTCATTTCCCCCACCCTCCTCTCCACTCATTCTTTTTCTTTTGCAATCCGCTCCGCGTTCCTCCCCCCTGCTCCGCACTCCTCCAGAATCCTCAGCCCTCCTTGTCATTCCTCTCCGCTCCTCCGCCCGCCCCCCACTCCACTCTGGCCCTCCCTGTGCCGCCCGACTCCTCCAGACTCCTCCGCACTCCTCTCCAACCTTCCGCCCTCCGCCCTATCATCCCCAAGCTCCTGCGCTCTTCAGACCTTCTCCCCACTCTTCCCCTCCTATTCGTGCTCGGGGCCTCACGTGAAACGCACGCAGTTTTAAATAGCGCTCAAATACTATAACCGTACGAACTGGTCTTTGAAACACGGTGGGTGGACAAAAAGTGTCCGCACCCATCTCGCCAATCTGATACGACATCGAACTGCGTTGAACAAATAACCATCGCCCCCGCCCCCCCCCAAACCCAAAGTTGACAGGGTTGGGTGCGAGGCAACGCGCGGGGGACAAAATACGGACGGGTTTGGGGGTGAGGGGGGGCGAGCCACATGTATAATGCAATTGTCGTTGCCATCATGCCTGATTGTCTTCACGCCGTCGGCGTGGACACTTCTTGTCTGGGCACAGTAGCGAGCGTTTGTCCGCGGCCGTTTGTGCTCAAGCGGCCGGCCGCCAAGATATGACTGTGCCTCATCGCGAGGCGCACTATCTGCCATTGAGACCGGAAACATGTTCGCTTGATACGGCTCGTCGCTCCTGCGACTCTTTCCTGCTCTTGGGACTACCGCTACTACGGTATAACAGAGTTGGATATGGGCTTCGCCTTAGGCGAAGCATTTGGTTGGGCCTCCCGACTAGCTTCAAACTACCCCCCCCCCTCTGCGACCCCCCCGTTCTCCCCTCCCCCTCCTCCCCTACTTCTCTTCTCCCCCTCTCCTCGGGCCGGTGCCTACGTCGGCGGCGGCTGGTGCCGGCGGCGGGGTCGACGACTTCCTTTTCTGGGCCGGCGCCGTCGCCTGAGGTGGTGGTGGTGGTGGTGGGGTGTGGTGGTGG